TCAGTTTACACTGTTGAATTGAATATCCTATTATGTTTAGCTAAAGCGCATGAACTTTGGCATTGCATAGTAGATGTTTTACGGCGCTATAGACACAGAAATGACAGTTATGGCGCCAGTGAGGACCTTGTTTTGATATAATATTTGGCTAGTGTTTGTTTCTGGCTTCTTTTATTTTATTATTATTGGTGTTTTACGTAATAGAACATTAAAAATTTTTAGGCAGCACTGCACGACCGTGCTCTATGGACGAACCGCGCCTGGTGGGGAACTCTGTGCCACCACTTTCCAAAGAGGAAATTTACTCGTTATTCCGATCTGTACGCTTTACAAAGCATTCTGTCAAAATGAGTTTTTGAGAAATACTGAAAGTTTCAAAGAGATCTTGGTACTAGGAACATTCTAAAATGTGAAGAATACAACTCCGCGGTACAAAATGACCCCAGGGCGTGCGGATAGGTTTAATACCCCTTTCAACTCAATTAGGTCAACTTGTCCAGTATCTTTTCCCTTTGTCTGCCTCTACCTCTCTTTCCATTAACTTGCCTGATGTTACAATACTCTCCAATGCTTCTTTCGGCATTGTGTGTCCAATGAAATTTGCCTGTCGCTTTCGTATATTCGACATAAGCTATCGTCTGCTATTGATTCAACCAAGTTTTCTTCATTTGTTTTCTAGCTGTCCATGGAATACGCAGATAGAACTTTGTAATTCTGGGATAGCGATTAAATTTTTCAAAAATAAAGACAATGAAGTCACAAAGTCCAAGAAACAACGTCGATCTATTGGAAAAGTCAAGAAGAAGAAGATGGTGATTGTATTTCTGGTTTATGTAGAATCTACAAGTATGTTATATTTGCAACCACGCCAGTAGAAGAGATAACATATTGTTATAGGATTGAGTTATTGTAGCATATTGTTGTTGTTATAACTTTTGTCTCTGTTTTTTTTTTCTTGTTGTCGTTGTTGGTGATGTTGTTGATGTTTATGCTGTTGCTGCTGTTGTTGTTGTTGTTGTTGTTGTTGTTGTTGTTGTTGTTGTTGTTGTTATTGAAGCGCCAGTAGAAACTATGTAATATAGTGCCCAGGAGTTATTTATAGCCATGCCAGTTGGTCGGTGCTTTAACATCAACTGAAGGTCATTGGCCTACTATATTTACGCTCTACTGGAATGTAGCAATAAATCTTGAGAGAAAAGTGACACAATGACATGTGTTTCCAAGTTTCCAAATTATTTACAATAGATGTATAGATTGATTCTCTATTCGCTTTCGTGGTTGTACACTCCAGAATTTCAAAGATGTGGAAACAGTACGCACGGCTAGTGAACGGAAACCTCACTTGTTCAAAATGGCATCTGCGAAGACGGACTTTCCCAAGATTTGATCTAAACGAAACTAATGAAAAACTAAAAATTAAATTACAGTGACTTCAGGCTCCTCAATGAAACTGTGCACCCTATAACTGATTCTGAATCACCGTTAATTTTTTTCAAATTCGATAGTTAAGTGGTTCGGAAGTTTTAGGAGGCCAAAGTGACGAAATTTCACAAATATAATATGTATAGATTACGATTAAAAGAAACAATGTATTCTATGTGTTCTATTATAGACGAGGATCTTGTATTACGAAAGAAATCGTGTATATCGTTGCAAGAAAATCTGAGGTGAGAGGGAGGAAGAAAATAATTTTATATTCCGATGTAAGAAACAATGTATTCTATGTGTTCTACCATAGACGAGAATCTTTATTTTACGAAAAAAAATCGTGTATAGCATTGCAAGAAAGAATGAGTGACATCAAAATTACCTGTTGCCATCATCAACAAACAGCTAAGAGCTAAGAAAATCTGAGGTGAGAGGGGAGCTCCCATCTTTGTAAATTTTCTCAATTTCTCCAGAAGCAAGTCGGATGAGATGTGATCTTCAGAGTCCGAGACAGAAAAATATTCTCAATCTCTCCAGAAGCAAGTCGGTTGAGATGTGATCGCCACAGAGTCCGAGACAGAGATGTGCCTTGGTAGGAGCAGGGCACGAACAAAGATAACACAAGTCTGGTTGGGGTTATTGGGAAGTCGGTCTGACGGTCTGCAGCAGAGGATTATATTGTTGGTCTGGAGATCTGGGAGTCTGCGAGGTGGGGAGTGGGTGGGTGGTCTTCTCCTGGTCCGTGTGTGTGTGTGTGTGTGTGTGTGTGTGTGTATGTGTGTGTGTGTGAGTGTGTGTCTGTATGTGTGTGTGTGTGTGTGTGTGTGTGTGTGTGTGTGTGTGTGTGTGTGTGTGTGTCTCTCTCTCTCTCTCTCTCTCTCTCTCTCTCTCTCTCTCTCTCTCTCTCTCTCTCTCTCGCGCGCGCTCGTTCTCTCGTTCGCTCTCTTGCTCGCTCTCTCTCTCGCTCTCTCTCTTTCTCGCTCTCTCTCTGCCTGTCGCTGTCTCTCTCTTTCTTTCTCTCTCTCTCTCTCTCTCTCTCTCTCTCTCTCTCTCTCTCTATCTATCTATCTAT